TGGTTGCTCTCCGTGCCGGCTCGGTCGAAACGTTCAAGTCCGCCGGGATCCGAACTTCAATGCTTGCAGAGCGGACGAAGAGGACGGACGCACAGAGCTTGTCAGGCGCGGGGGTGGCGAGTTATGATCCCAAAATAGACAGCTTTGCGGTGAGGGACGGGACTGCGCCGCCTGCGGGGGACCGCCAACCGCTTCGGTCGGAGCGAGAGGGTACGTGTGGAGGGCCCGGCGACAGAAAGACGGCGAAGTTCATCGGGATCCGAACTTCTTTAGGCAAGGGGGGCCAACCAGGGATTGTTGTGCCGGCGGGAGGGGCTGCGTGCGGCAAGCGGGAAGGGCATTCGTCGGAATTCGACACGGGTTCGGGCCAAGTGGCTGGATTGCATGCACAAGAACGAGGCAGGGTGATGGACAAAGAGAAGGAAGGGGAGGAAGGAGACACAGGGGAGGAATTAGAGGAAGGAGGGGAGGAAGGGGAGGAAGAAGAGGATGACGGGGAGGAAGGAGAGGAAGGGGAAGAAACGGAGTTGGCTGGGTTGCTAGGAGAGAATGGCGGGGAAAAAGGTGAACTCGATACTGGAGACGACGAACGGACGGTCGGCGACGACGATGACAGATCTGGATAGTCGTCTGACGGATTCGGGCAACTGTACGGAGAACATCGCGAGGAAGACGACGACGACGATGACACGACACTGGGTATGGAGACACAGGTGGTCACAAGCCTTTCGGTTGAACGTAATGACTATGAGGTCGAAGCAATGACGTCTGCCGTCGATCTCCAACAACAGTTCAACGACGCTAGTGTTGAGGTCAGCCTGAATAAACCGAGTGTGCGTATTGACATCGAAGAAGTTATCGACGGCATCTTGGGCGACCACCACATGTCCGCGCAGCCGTCCTCTACGCCTGGTGTCGACGACCCTCGCGACGTCAAACCTTCCGGGGGATCTGTCGTGGCTTTGTCACCGACGAAGTCTCCGATGCTGCCGCCGACCATCCCCAGTGGAGGAGAAGGCGAGATCGGGGGGCGACAAGACGTCACATCCCCGAAAAAAACTGCCGCCGACACTTGAGCTCTCGACGTGCTGGCCTTGCCCGCGCCAACTTCGCCGATTAAGGAGCGAAGAGATAAACCAGCTGGTAAGCAGTGACAAACGCCACTCTGTCTGTGCGCCAGTGACCACTGTGTCTGTCGATGCGAGGAGTTCCTGATGCCGACATGCTACAGCCACCACTCCTTCAAACTTCCAAGTACATGTGAACGACCATCCTGTGGGTCGGCCAGGTCACTGTGTGAAGTACATGTGTGTTTTTGTTGAAGCGTCCCGTCATATAATGGAAGGATGGTGTTTCTTTTTCGGAATGAGTGGTGGTTTTAGTCCGCCGGGATCCACACTGCCAAGGCCGCTGCATAATGCGGTTACTCTTTTTGTGCCTCGATTGGGAAAAGTCCGTCAGGATCCTGACTTCATAAATGTTTGGCCTCCACGTTTGTGGCTTGTTGAGGTTTTCCCTTCTGAAGGGCGGGGATGTCGAGGTCGAACGCACTGCTCCTTTTGTTTCATAGCGGGGCTTGCGCGGAAGTATTCTCTGTCTCTCTCATGGCTAAACGGGGTTCTGTAATTAGATAGGTCCTGCGTCTTCTATATTTCGTGGTTCTTGAATTCTCGTTTTCGCCGGATTCGTCTTGGATTACGTATATTCATTTTTCGTTTTCTCTTCCTTCGTTTGTCCAGGGGATGTGTCATCTCCCTGGGTCGGAAAAGTCCGCCGGGATCCGGACTACAAAGATGTTTGGCTTCCGCTTCTGTGACTTGATGTGCTTTTCCCTTCTGAAGGGCGGGGTGTCGAGCTCGAGTGCACTGCTCGTTTTGTTTTGCAGCGTGGCTAATGCGGAAGTTCTCTCTCTCGCACTCTCATGGCATGACGGGGTTCTGTAATTGCATAGGTCTTGCGTCTTTTAGATTTCGTGGTTCTTTTATTGTCCTCTCGTGGGGTTCTTCTTCGGAATCGTGTATTCATTTTTCGTTGTCTTTCGTCTGTTGTACAGGGGTAGGGTCGTCTCGAACACAGAGGCCCTCTAAATATCCAGAACACATATTGCAGACAGTTCCGGGGTTGACGACAAAACACAAGGAATTGTTAAAGGCGTTTGGGGTTGATGGCGAAATCGGAAAGAAGGAGCACGTCATTGCCATTGAGGAGTGTCTTTCCCTTCTGCCCCCAAAGAAAGGGAGATATCCACGATCTATGACTAGGGGTCAGACCATGTATGAGAAATACTTAGCCACTCGTTGTGCGATGAAGGAGAATCCTTAGAGTTCCGTTTCTCACTTCCCCCCCTGTCCTTTGCTCGATGTTGTGCAATGCGGGCCACGACACCTGGAACAGCAGTGACTGCGATTGGAAGCTTGTGGGTTTTGGACGACATTGAACGAGGCTTGGTGCCACCTGACACTGTACTCTCGACCCTCGGCGATGGTCAGTTGCGCATTGCAGCGAAGGATATTCTAACCCTCTCACTTACCGACGACAGGGTGAATGATCAGGTCGTCAACTTTTACATGGCGCTATTGGAAACGACCGCATATGGGATACGTGACATCCCGTCAGGCCTTCGAGTCTTCAGCTTTAATTCTTTCTTCTTCAGTAAACTGCAACTTCAAGGACACGGCGGGGTGGAAAGATGGGTTAAAAACGTGGATCTGCTTCAATATGATATTATCTTCGTTCTGGTCCTCAAAGATAATGATCACTGGATCCTCCTTTCCTTGAACTTAAGAGATAATGTTTTTGAGATTTTCGATTCTTTTCCTTGCGTTGTAGTGGATTCTAGTTTTTATCTTAGCGTTTTCGAGTTGATCGTACACTATTTGGAATGTCAAACATCACATAGGCGGTCGTGCAGGCGCTGGAAGTCGATAGCAACCAATGTTGTTATAAAGGGAGTTCCAATACAAGTGGATGGAGTTAGTTGCGGGGTGTTTATGTTGATGTTTGCGACATTGTTGCAACGTGGCAATCGACCGCCTTTCAGGTTCTCTTGTAAAAATATTATGTATGTTAGACGACAATTGGCATCATGTATCTTAGAATGTCGTTGTCTTTGATGGATTCGATTGAATTGCAAACTTCTGTTTCAGAATATTTCATATTTTGACTGTCGCTTTCACAACGACATTACTTTCTTTTGGTGTTGCGAGTTTGAGTTGTCTTTGGTATGTTGACTGCCAGTCTGGCGTCGCGTGTTGCCTTCAGAATCTCTGTCAGGTCCGGCTCGTCTGTCGTGCTATTACATTCATCGCATTGCAGCTATCGTTGCAAATTGTGTCCAGGTCATCCAAAGATGTGTATATAATTCACCTCGAAATGATATTCGTGTGTGTGGTGCGACATGACGAATTGGAGTGTGGATGCAAGATAAATCTCGGCGAGTGTGTGGGTGTGTGTGAGGTTCTTTATGCAAAGAGTAAAAGACAAGTGACATCACGTCTCTTGTGCGCATAGACAATCATTTACCGCCTGAATTACATGTAACCGACAATTTTGCATTCGTGACCGGGAAAAATAAATTGTATGTCGAAAATAACTTTTTGTACTTCTAAAGAAGTCTGAATCTCTATAATATCCAGACAACCGCCTTGGGCGAGACGATTGCCATGCATGTACAACTCACGCATAAAGGAAATAAATAGTATTATCCAACAAGGATTCAATCATGACACCTTGCTCATCACATTCACAAACTTGAAGTTTGACAAGTGTGGCTCCCGACACACTATCGCACAGGCATCCTGGATGGGCGTGTCTGTCGCTACTCTACGTCTTCTAATATAATTATCCAACGAGGATGCAATCATGACACATTGCTCGTCACAATTATGGAATAGAAGTTTAACAAGTATGGATCCCAGCACAGTTCCGCAGAGGGTTCCCTGATGCGCGTGTCTGTTGTTATTCGTTTATGAAGTTTAACAAGTACGGATCCCGACACACTTCGGCACAAGATTCCCGACACATTTCTTAAGTTCAACAAGTAAGGATCCCAGCACACTTCCGCACAGGGTTTGCCTAATGGGCGTGCCTATCGTTATTCGTTTATGAAGTTTGACAAGTGCGGATCCCTTCACACTTCCGCACAGGATTCCCAACAGTGCCATGTTTTTGAAGTTCGGCAAGTAAGGATCCCGACAAACTTCCGCACAAGGTTCCCGTGCGGCGTGCCTAACATGTACGGGTTTGAACACGCTTCCTCATTTGGGATATTATTTATAAAGTTTCACCACAAGTACGGATCTTAGCACACTTCTGCATGTGCTTAAGCCCTGGATGGGCGTGCCTACGTTGCTTGGCCCTAACCCAAAAAAAAAATCGTTAGAAAGAGGACACAATATAATGTCATATTTTAACGAATAACATGTTGTAGGAAAAGTATAAGCTACAGCCTCACAAATCAGAGGAAAGGAATACAAAGTGTTTAATTGCTCTATCCAAGAGACGGTGGATCCGGTCTCCAACAAGGGTTGCTCCCCACCAAATAATAAAGCAGCCTCATAGCCAGGGCCTCGATTCCGGGGGTTCACTCACCACCGCGGAGATAGACAACTCATAAAAGGTCTTTTTTTTTAAAAAAGGAAAAAAAAAGGGTTGCGTGTATGTGTTTGGTAAAAAAATAATAGAGTAACAGAAAAGAGTTATTATTGCACGATGGGGCAAGATACAGTTTGCAATTGCACTTCGGCTCGGAGCACCTTACCTTGCCAGAAAGTTAGGTTGTATACATTGTCCGAACTGCATTCGGAAACTGTATCTTGGCCCATAGTGCAATTATTACTCATTTTTGTGACCCCCATATAGTTTCCCTAATAAAAAAAGATTGAGAGGGATTGGGTTTTCGTCCTTAGGGGCAAATGAAATCAACCCCAAGTGTTTAGTCAGCCACGGGATTGCATGGTGGTCCGCTTGTTCGTCTGTGTTCATTTCTAGTGTTTCCTCGTCTTCATCTTCTCCTGAGATGTTACCCATGTTCATCTTTTTCGGAAATGTTTCCCATGTTTAGATTTTGAGGTAAAATACCCACTTTGCAACCTTGATCCAGAGCCTGTTGCAAGTCCGACATGCCAACTTGTCCCAAGGATTCATTCCGGTCCTCTGTATCCATGGCATCATGTTGCTCCATGGTAACGAGCGGACTTGCGACAAGTTCATGATCACTTAGGGGCTCACCACACCTTTTTTTTTTTCTTCTTCAAGGGACAAAGCTTCAATATGTTCGTGGGGAAGCAGCACGGATGGGAACCGAGCCCTGCGTCCCTTCTAAAGATCTTAAGAGATATTTGAAGGAAAAGTTGAGAAGTACAGGGGCCATTACCCAACTTCAACTTAGAGAAACAAACTTGAGCACAACTCAGAGCAGTATTAGCAAACTCTTAGGAATATAGAAACAAATCTGCGGACGATAGTTTCCCAGAGTTTTGATCAATCGATGCTAATACTAGATTCGTGTACAATATCCCCACCGCATAGTCCTTATCTGCAAACAACTCACCAGAATGGCTTAAAAAGAAGTTCATACAGACTTCGATTTCCTTTGTACTAAAATCTAACTGGTAACCTCCGCTTAATGACTAAGCCAAACAGGCTTTCAATAACCTGGGATGGAATTGGTCT